TTTTTTTCACAAAGAGAGCATTTGCCGAAAAAACGGCTGGACTTCATGCAAAAAACCGGTAATCATGCACCTGGATGTGCACGACCTTCATCCCAACTGTAATGCACCATCTTCATCCCAACTGATGCCCTTCCTCTTGCATGCTGGTAAGGATCAAAAGACGGCCAATATTAGCCCAAGTGTTAGGCTGCAGCGTAGAGATCATTCCTGTTAATAACGATCTACGAGTTTAGTGCAAAAACGCATTATCGCACCGGAAAGCCTGATGCGTTCCAGCCTGGGTTTCAGAAAGCGAGCATTTACCGAAAAAACGACCGGACTTCATCCAAAAAACTGGTAATCCTGTATCAGGAAGTCAATGCGGCACTATAATGCAAAGCCATCCCAACCGATGCCCTTTTCCGGAAGAGACCAGAGTGCAGTCAATATGAGCCCAAGTGTTAGGCTACAGCGCAGGGTCATTTCTGCTATTACTGCGAGTTTAGTGCAAAAACGCATGATTGCACCGGCAAACCTAGTGCATTTCAGTGTAGGTTAATTTTCAATGAAATACGAACAGGTTTTTAGGCTGAATAAAGCTGCCGTATCGCAAAAAATATCTGTGCATCAGCCTAAAACACAAGGAGTGAATTCTTCTGACTACTAAAGCTATTTTGAAAAGGGTTTCATTGAATTAGAGGAAAAATTTTTAGAAACTTATTTTATCACTTTAATCGTTGGTCTTATCCAGTCGGTGAACATGGCGCACAGCAAGAAGCACTGTTCTTGTGCTGAGAACGAAAGATTCGAATCCCTCAGTGGGATAAAAAACTCCTCCACATTCATTCATTCAGCTGATGAATTGATACTCTTATCGATACTGCCGCACTGTAGGAAATCAAAAACGCCATTCGCTTGTCTCTAAGAGTACGCGAAAAGGGGAGCTAGCGACAGCCAAGTCAAGGAGTGTTTGGTGTTGCCGTTCACTACCATTCGCGCTAATTCGAAGTGATTCCGCTTTGCGTGACGCAAATGAAAATTTTTGTGCGTTCTTGCATGTTATGAAACTGCAAAAACGCTTACTGGCAAGAGGCTATGTGTGTTTGTGTCTGTGTGTTCGTACTTTTTGTCATCTCCTTTCAACTCGGGAACCAGAGAAGCTACAAAGCTGAAACTTCGGGAATGTATACCCACTCAGTGGGCGGCCGTCCCGTTTTAATATTATCATTCGCGTACCCCTGCATCTTGCGTACGGATACCTCAAAAAAATGCTTAGTTTTTCCGGCGGGAAAACGTTCTCGGGAACCAGATAAGATAGAGAGCCGAAACTTTGCAGGGATCTTGTCTATGCACATCTGGGACTAAAGATTTCAAATTCTGCTCACGCATGCTTGCACCGCACGTACGACTACGTCAAAGTTCGCAGTTGGGACTGTAAAAACTCGAAAATTGAACGGTAAACAGTAGCTGAAATTTTATTGAAATATTTATCGTCCCCCGAGAAGTCATATATCTAACTGGAGTTTTGAATTACGCTTGGGTCACCCGTTTGGGCGCGTCGCAAATTGTAACGAAGAGGTGATTTCGTTTACTAGACAAGCTGCAAGGCTAAAAATTTATGGAGATATTCTGCATCAGCTTGGAGGCGAAGTCCCCTGCAAGCGGACATAACAAATTCCTAGTTTTATCACAGAATCAAAAGAAAAAAAATTCTGCGGATTTCGTAACTTTCTCCTGGTATCCTGTGCATTGTAAAAATTGCATATTTCATTGAACGACCGCTTGGCGGGAATATGATCGGGGGTCATGCGAAACTGAAAATTGCACACGCTGGAGGCGCATACGGTCACATGATCCAACACTACCATCTCAGCCGATGCTGTTTTCCTTTTGTGTGCAGGAAAAAGCCAAAACACAACTAGCGTGAGTCCTCGTATTAAGCGACAACGCTGGAAACATACCTGAACTGATTGTTGCAAATTCAGCACAAAAATGCGTAGTCGCATCGGTAGTCTTGGTACGTTGCAACCTAGGTTTTGACTTTTATATTTCTTCCTAGTCCTTTATTGAGATGATGGTTCCTTATTGTTGAGAAAGCCAAAGCTGAATCAGTTGTTGATTAGATCTCATTTTCTTTATGGTCTTACATTCTGCCATTGAAAAGCCTTGAATGCGTCACGTCCTCTGCGTCATCTTCGTGATCTACCAGCACATATACTAGCTAGCTTTACTTTTTTAAATTTCTTTTAGTGAACAGTGTTGGTGTCGGCCGAGAACAGATGGAACGATATGGTGCTAATCCAGAAGCTGATTATAAAATTCTGAAAGTCAATGGACTTGGCGCTGCAGAAGTAAGTCTGTATTTCACTTTTAAGGCTATTGCTATGACTTGCATAATAAATCGTGGAAGAACTTTCTCGAAATTTCCAAGAATTTTACAGCATTATTGAACGCAGCCAAATACCGAGCGCAGCTTTCCAGCTTGCCTTTTTTGGTTATTTTCTGCAGTTTTACGTTCCCGCTAATTATCAAAACAACTGAGGTTCACGCCAGACACACAAGAAAAAACACTAACATTTGAAAATTGAAATCCAAGAACTCTCTTACAGCTAGAGCGCGAGGTATCCTAAAGTAGCTCGAGATGAATAGCAAAAGCTACTAGCAACTACCTGCCGAAAAGATGGCTGCGTCTTCCGAGGTTGTTCAAAGGCATGCTGATAGTGCTTTCAACTTCTGGCTTGCTCCAAATCTTGAAATGACAAATTAAAATTGCGTCATTTTATGCTCAGTTTTTGCAATTTAAGGACAGTAGTATTTTTTAAGGATAGAGTGTGGATGATACGCTATTATTGCTTAGACCATACTTGGTCAGCCTTGAGGAGAACGTTTTGTCCACGTAAAACGTAAGTAACTGCCTAGCTTGCAAAAAATAAGTCATATTTTAGTTCTTATCGATAGTTCTACCAGCAATGGAAGCGTATGGTGGCGGTCAGATTGTTGTAATGTCATCCAGCTTAGGCTACAGGCCACTACCGTATGTGGCATCGTATTGCGCATCAAAAGTAAGTTTTTTTTGGCAATTTTTCGATTGTAGCTGTTCATTTCAGTGCAGTCGGATGTTCAGCCAGGTGTTGTGCTTTCAATGCCACGCAGTACAGTCTCAAATCACTTCTGGTGTTTTGGTCAGAGTGACTCTGTTTCCGTTACCACTTTAGAATTTTTCGAACTGATACACACGTTTTTCCTAAGTGACAATCGCGGTGCCCAAACGACGAGTCAGGGCTCACGGAGGCAGGTGAATGGTAGATGCATCCATGGTTTGAATAACTGCGACGATGTAAAGTTGGTTTCTGCAATTTATTTGCACACCGATACTTTACGCATCCGGAGTGGTAGAAACACATACTTTTGCTAGCTTCATGGCACGCTTTAGTTTTACAAATTTGTACATAATAATTCGAAATTTTTTAGGCAATGTTATTGTTTTTATGCGAATCGATTAGTCGCGAATATCCAAAAATCCATGTTCAGTGCTTGACTCCTGCACTCGTCGCAACAAATATGACACATTATGATAAAACTCACGGATCGTTGTTCGTGAAAACACCAGACAGTTTTGCCTGTGAAGCCGTGAATACGATTGGTTTGGTCAACGTAACAACCGGCTGCTTTAACCATGAATTCCAGGTAGATAGGACAAGGCTTAGCTAGCTACTAATTCATCGCATTTCAGAGCAATTTCGGATCATTTTTGCTGCAAATGCTTGCACATTTTCTTTGACAAAATTCCAACTTTTTTAACTTTTGAATGTTTCAACCTTTATGAAATTTCATCAAAATTACTTTCTATCAACGATTGGCTTTGACAGATGCTTCTGCGACATTTGTTCCCATGGTGTATGTTGAAGTACATACTATTACCATTCAACTGGTACCACAAACACAGGACAGATCAGTTACACAAAGCTCGAGTCGCAGCAGATTGCGATAAAAAGGTTCTTCTTTTTGCTGATTTTATTTTGCCGGTTAATTAAGTGTATTTTTTTAATTGTATAGTTTTTTTCTGGATGTATTTACAAAGTAACTTTTTTCTTTAACTGACCAGACAGTCAACCGATACGCAGTTCTCGAGGTTTTTGAAATATATTGATAGCTATAGGCTGAGCAAAGTTAGCCTAAATTCAGGACAGCTGCCCTGTTTGCGTTTTGCTTGTGATCCTCGTATTTGCGACGTTCGTACACTTGATCGTCCGAACAGTTTGTTTCTATTCCATCAGTAGCACTCAAAATGAGTGACTTCAACCGTCTGTCTAGGGGCGCTACTTTTGTCATAGCCACGATGCTAGTAGCGCGACAGTGCCCTGATAGTACGTTAGATTATTTCTGTGGCAACGAAGGGTTGATCTAGGCTGAAATATTCTTCAAACGCAAAAGGCAAAATGGGCGCAGTGATATGTAGTCAGGTCCTCATCGTACGGTTTGAACGCAGCAGTTGTGTTTTGAAGCTCTAGCAACCAGTGGAATCAGTCCTTCTACCATCAGCTGACTGCATTTCACGAAAATGAAACGAGTGACTTATAACAAATGACTGTTCATGTGCGAGCGATCTTGAAGACAGCGGACGAGAGCCAAAGCATCAGAACTTGGGGAAATTTTTGCCAAAAAAGCCACGACTTGTTTTAAAGTGTTTTCATATGATTTTTGCCAACCTACACCATGCTATCAGACGAGCCCCAGTGCGGTTCAAAATATGTCCGCCACATATCAATTCCTCTTTCAGGCACCATAATCGACAATTTCTAAATCCGTGTCGGGAGATACACGAAGATAAGCAGATCTATTTCTGACAAAACAGTGCGCAATCCGCTGCACCCACGAACTTCGATTTGCTGTCCGTTTGGAATCATTTGATTGCGAAACTATGCAGGAATAATTTAAATAAATTCTTCTCGAAGTTAGTCAAGGACAGTTCAGAACAGAATTCTTTCTGAACATACTTAATTTCGTATATGGAGTAAAATCTGGAAGTTGCATTCGACTGCTAGGGTAGCAACGGATTTATGCTATATTAGTCCTTATCGTCTTTAGCCTACTTCCCTGGTTTTCGCAACTTGCCACTTTGTGCTTATTTTGGCAGCAGCTATTGCAGCTCGGTTGCGGTTGGTGCGAGGTTCGCTAATACTGCTGCAGGTGACGAGGGCGTCGCTCCGAAAACCGGAAGCGTGGATTTGGGAGGCTATAGGTGGGGAGAGGAGAGGGGTTTGGACCGTGGGAACTCAGAGCGGGGGAGGGGCTAGGATAAGCAATACTAAGCTTAGCTCGGTTTCGCAGTATGCATTTCTTTGTGGATTTAGTGGTTAAGAGTGGGGGTTCCAATAAAAATCCAATTTCCTATAAAAGCCCATCTTCAGCAAGGGGCTTCTGTATTCATGACATTCATGCTAAGCAAAAGCTGAGAACAAATAAGTTGGATTGGATTTACACAAAAATTTCACACAGTTAATTCCAGCGCATTATCTTCGGCAGTAAAAATGGTCACCGAGTTTAAGCCGGTAAGCTTTTTCATTCCAGCCTTCACTCTGTATCAGATTTCATGCCTAGAATAATAAATACACTGGAGAATATGAACTGAGATTCAATCAATCAGTGGAAAAATAGTGATATTGCTGTTATTAAAGTCAAACTACAATGGCTGCAGCACAATCAATGACTGCGCAACAGCAAAAGTATTGTTAAACCATGTTTCTGAATTATTTTGAAATAAAAGGAAACCGGTGCATTCTTGCTTTTTCCTGTTCCTGATTACTTCAAGCACTGATATCTTTGCACGCAGGTATTCCAGTGTCCCAGTTTAATGAAATCAACCGAACTTATTCGTGTTCAGCTTCACCTAAGCACAAGCGTCATAAGTAGGGAAAGCTCCTACTAATGACTGATTTTTTATAAGACTGTTTCCACTTGCCTATGTTTATATTTGCTTTTATTCATCGTTTTCTTTTACTTGCTGTGCTTTCCCCTTCTCTATTAATGTCCCTAGTTACAGCCTCGAGCTTCTGACTGGTAATCTTGTTCCCATTCTCTATCCTCTCCCCAGTTCCTGCTTTCAGAGCAAGTTCTAAGTCCTCTTCGGCTTTTATAGCTGCACTTTTTAACCAGCTAACACTTCAGCTCCTCCTTTCGGCCTCAGTCCCTCGCGGGCTAATGCAATACCACACCTCCCTTCCTTTCCACCACCAACGCTATGTCACTCAACGCTTAGGGTAGAATTACCAATGACCTACTCTGGCTGCCTCATTAATCCCGCTAAATCCACAAACGAATGCATTTTGCGACTAAGCCAAGCTCCAGAAGCTGACTGTCCTCGCCCCTCTCTCTCTACCAGTCCCAGTGACACAAACAGCACCACGCTGCACCCGTTCACACACCATCCTCCAAACTACATTACTCAGCGCTTGGAGATCTTCAGCCAGCACTAGAAGACGTTACCGAAGCGCCTGAAAAAATGGTACCCATAACTGCTGTGGTGTCTCAGCGCGAAAACGAGTGTGTTTTATAAACGAAGCCGAGCCTATAGCCGTTGCCTATTTTGGAAGCTTAGTGGTTGTTTGCTTTTAAAATTATTTGACTGAAAGCAGTCTGACCATTACAAAAGTAGTCCAAAACCATCATCCGGATGATACCTCAAAGTAAGTCTTCCAAACATTTGATGCTGGCGATATTACTCATCTTATCAATGCGTGGTACAAAACTGTACCAGACCTCTCGGTTGTTTGCTGCATTTCTTCACGTATTCGGAAAGGACAAATTTTTAGGCCCAGCGTGTCCATAAACTCCAATTCAAACGGTCGTCAAAATTATCAATATAACATACAGAATGAAATTTGTAAAAAAAAGATCACTTAAATGTAAATACAATATAAATACGGTTGTGGATGTAATAAATACAGCTACTGATGAGATTTCATATTGCAAGCTTCCTCTGCAGCCAGTTCTAAGCGCTTTAACAAGTTTCGTATTTGCTCGTCGTTTGCTCGTTCATACAAACGTGGTAGCAGTAGGAAGGGCACATGCGAGATCATCAAAAATAGCGTTTCCTTGCCAAACGACTGATTAAACAAATTGCGGGTCTAAAATTTCGTATTAATCTCAAATTAAATTTACTTGCATCTTTAATGAAATTCGCTTCCGATGATACATTTTATGATCGAGCGATAGCCGCAAGTAGGAGAAGAATCAGTCGAGTGACTTGCACAGCAGTGGCACACATTACTAATGTGTACACATTAGTAAGATAGGTGTTGATCCATCGACGATGAGAACTAGTTGTAGACATGTAGTTTCAGCATTGAGGGAGTGACTTAGCTGCATGCGTATATAGAGGCGCCCTGACAGTAACACCAAAGCTCCGCAGTAATTACCGAAATGATCTTAGATCTGACAGTGATTTACGTGTGGTCACAGTGTTTTACTGTATACTGTAAAATAAACAAATTCTCAGTACGAACGGACCAAAGTGCACGTTTCATAGAGTTCATCTATTCCATCAATAAACAGAAGTTGCTCACCTCGGAAAGTGTAAATGGCATGCTTATGCTAGCTTTGGCAAGCCGCTTCTCCAGCTCTTGATGATAAAAATTCAAGAATTCATCTGTATGTTCCCGTCGAATATCGGCATCTGTACTCGAAATTATCAGTCGCGCAACATCTTCTATTGGCGAGCCTGCAAAAGGAAAAAAGCGAAGATGGATTAGTATGGCGCCCAATCCTTGTAACAATTGCTCGCAATAGAAAAGGAAACCAAAGCTTAGGACTCGAAATCGGAATGATCTTCATAAGAATGTTCCCGTGCAAAAACATTGTAGCTATCAGCTTCGATAAACCTTTTGAATAGCAGTACCACTAAGACATTTCAAGGACTTAATGTAGGGGGTTTCAGCACTAACCAAGATCCACTTACAAGTTTACACCAGTTATTCTGCTTTTTTTATACTGATTATAAGTTACCAGTTCGTGCCTATTGCTTCAAGAAAGTTCTGGAAATGTCGATTTCCTTTCTATCTCTATTGTCATTTTACAATCTAAGAGACCAGATTTTCATTAGGAATCAAGCTTGTCGTTGCGAAAGCAATTTAATGAGTAAACTAAGAGTGCTGACAACCAAACGAACAAACAAACACCAGGCGAGCCGGTGCGATCATGCGTTTTTGCACCAGGCTTGAAATAATTAGGTTAACTGCATG